TAAACCCTAAACCCTTAAACCGTAAATCCCAACACTCGCTGAACCCCAAGTTGGACAATCCCAGAACCATGAAGTTGCGGCTGTCGGCAATCCTAGAGGCCTCAAAGCAACCAAACTTGGGTTTAGCCAGCACCCCCCCCCCCCCCCCCCGAAACGACCCTCTGCTATATCCTATACCCACTGTCGTGAGGACCATAAGGGCTCCATTCAAAGGGTACTTGGAAGGGTGCGTGCCCCTAAATCCTAAGCCCTAAAGCCGTGGAGGGTTTTGAGAGGTCTAGGGGTTCAGGGCTTAGGGAGGACGCTACTCCAAAACCCGGAAGCCCAAAGCACGTAAATCCCAAGCTACAAAATACTACAAAACCCTACATGAGGGTCTAGGGTTTAGGGGCGAATCCCAGAAAGTTGGCACATGGNNGCTTTACCTTGAGGGCATGAGGATATATACGTTTCACCTGTCTGGCGTCTGCTGTAACTGAAACCCGTTAGCCAGCAGATTAGACCCCACGTCCCTGCGCCTCCAAACCCAAAGCTCTACCACCTAAAACCCGAAATCCTCTCTCTCTCTATATATATACCCATATATATATATACATATATATATATATATATACATGTACATAAAACCCTCAACCCCCGAAGCCCTACGCCCCAAACCCTAAATCCTCACACACTAAACGCCCTATTAATCGAGGGCTCTGCGTGGCCGCGCCTTCCTCATCCAGACCTTGGCGATCCGACGAGGCCTGCCGGATGTTGGAGCACTTTTGCGATTTGGGCGTTTGGGGGCGTATGTATGTATGTCTGTATGTATGTATGTATGTATGTATGTATGTATGTATGTATGTACGGATGTGACCCCAATAATGCTCATGATGGTCGCGTGCTGGCTCCGATTGGGACTCGAATGATGCTCATGGTGAGCTTAGGGATACCATATAGGCCCCGAATGTGCTCGTTTACCGACTCAGAGTAACAAAATCAAAGCATCAACAACAACAGTAACTCCCCAATGATGCTCATGCGCTCGCCCACGGGCTCCGATTGGGCACCCAATGATGCTGACGATTCTCTCCTAGTGACATAGTGGCTCTGATTGAACCAAACAATACTCATGATGGTCGTCTACCGGCTTCCCGTCAGAGGCTTGACTGCTTCATGCATGTTCAGGTCATGGCAAATTTGTCTTGCGAACATCTCGAAGCGTTTGGGACCACTTGCATCGGCGTATGCGCTTACGCATCACAGGGGTACGCTTTTTGGGTTCCAATTTGTTTCGGGCGTCATATCGACACGTGTATGTTGTGAGATCACAGATACGATGTGTTCCGGGCATCGGCATGTCAATGTGGTGCACTCGCACATCACAGCGAGTGTAGTCTGTCTGTTGTGAGGCCACCCATTACAAGGGGTGCGACTTGCTTCGATATGTGCCTCTTGTGCGACCATACATCACAGAGTGCGATTTGTTTCGTCGTCTGTCTGTTCTGTGCTCACATCACAGGGGGATTTGTTCCGGGCATGAGTGCAACACGTGGTGCGATCAAGCGTCACAAGGGGGCTGCGACCGCATATGGTGAGGTCACACATCACAGGGAGCACGTTTTGACATGAGCATCGGCTTGCACACGGTGTACGGTTTGTTACAGGCATCGGCGTGCGAATGACCGCTCGGGGTGCGATTTGTTGCGAGCATCTGATCGGCGTGTGTCTGTTAAGTTAAGTCTGTTGTGACATCACCCACCGCAAAAATTCGAGTTGTTCTAGTCATCGGCGTGCATCTTTCGTGTGACCATTCCTGACCACTGACTGCTGTGCTCGGCGTATGTATGTTAATGCGATCAAACGTCGCCAGGGTTTACGACTTGCAACTTGCATCAGCACATGTGTGGGTGCGATCACGCCTCACAGTGGGTGCGATCTGTTCCGGGAATCGGCGTGTGCATGTTGTGATGTCATGGGCATTTTGGTTTGTGTGTGTGTGTTGTTTTTGTTTGTTTCTTTTTTTTGTGTGTGTTTGTGTGTGTTTTTGTGTTATCGAATGTAACGGCTACGATTTGTGGCATGGACCGGCGTGCGTACAATCTCGTTGCAATTTGTGAGGGTGTCGGTGTATGAATTTTCTGAACGCACACATCACATTGGGTACGGTTTGTTACGCACATCGGCGTGTGCGCAAGGGCGTGTGTGTGTGTGTGTTTCTGTGTTTCAGATCACAATAAACAGTTTCGCGGTTTGTTTCGTGGAGCAATTGTCAAACCTGGGGGAGCAATTTGTTCAGGGTGTCGGCATCACAGGGGGCATGCCGTCTTACAGGTACGATGTGTTACGGGCATTAGATCGGCGTGTGTATGTTGTGAGATCGAACGTCGCACGGGGTACGGTATGTTCCGGTCATCGGCATGCGAATGTAGTGCACTCGCACATCACGGCGCGTGTAGTTTGTCTGTACGTATGAGGCCACGCATGACAGGTGGTGCGATCTGTTTCGAAACTGTATGTGTCTGTGTGTGTGGGGTGCGAGCACACATTAATGTTGCAGCGACGCCTGAGACGCACCCCGCACGGCCGTGCCCTTCCGGAGCATTTGTGTGAAACCCCTCGGACACGCGTGCCAATTGGCACTCGCCAGAGGACAACGGAAAAGCTCCGACGCTGCTTCTTTTCGCCTGCAAGTCTGCAGTCCTCCACTAGTCAGTTGCCCTGTCTAGCTTTCCTCTTGCATGTGTGTATGCACGTAGGCACTCAGGCATGCATGCATGCAGTGTGAGTGAGCACATTGTGATCAATGTTTTGTATTGGAAGGGTCCAACCCGGGATGTCGTGTTGGAGAATAATGTTCACGGATTCGGGAAGCGTCGTCGTTGCTGTTGCAGCTACCGCTGCTGTTGCTCGCACTGTTTCTACCTGGAAAATTGCTGCTGCTCCTACTCCTGCTGCCGCTAGTTGTTGTTGGTGGTGGTGGTTGTGGTGCAGGTGGTGGCGGTTGTAGTTGCAGTTGTGGTCGTGGTTGTGATTGTGGTTGTGATTGTGGTTGTGGTTGTGGGTGTTGTGGTTGTTGTGGTTGTTGTGGTTGTTGTGGTTGTGCTTGTTGTCCTGGTGGTTGCTGGTGGTGGTGGTGGT